TCAAGCATGCTAAGAGAAAAGTTAATGCTAAGAAGAAAGAATGATGGCTGTTTATGAAGAACTCTGATGAGAATCGAAGTGAAGACCAACATCAACTCACAGTAACTGATCTTGAAAAACGAAGATTCGGTGACAAGTTTGGAAATCATTCAGGAATTAAGATCTGGGGATATCATGCTGACTTAAAACTGTGGTTGGTAAAGAGGAACTTTGGCCCTCCTGAATACTACAAGAGTACACACGACTTTTGTTCTTGGACAAGAGTCGATCTTACAGGACTCTCAAATGCTCCATTCCACAATCCCTCCAAAGATCCTTAGGCTTTCAATTTCAAATTCTTTTTGGAGCGGCAGGTCAAAGAAAAATTCTCTGGAATGAAGACAGCTAACTCTCTGATTAGAAGAGATCCAGACGTGCTTGATCCCAAAACAAACGAGCCAATGAAGATAGTGTTGTGGCCTGCTACTAAACAGTTGAAAGAAATTCCAATTCCTCAACATTTTCAAGATGGATATCTAGATCGGATGGAACTCTGGGCTTTTGATGACGTCACAGCCACTGCAGCAATCAAGTTTCAGACAGTGACACTATCCTTCGACTTGTTGAAGCTAAGGATCTTCTGAGGTTCAGGGAGAGAGATATTCACACCTTGGCAAGTCATCAAATAATTTGCAAATCAGACATCTTGGAGGCAGCCGCTAAAGAGTACACAGGAATGGTTGCAAAGATCATTGCCAACAGGCTTTGGATGGGGGCTATTGAAAGATCGGATGTGAGGCTGATAGAGAACCCATGATAAAAGAAGACCGACCTTATGCGAGCCACAAACCACGGGGGAGATTGATAGGTCATAGATTTGTGGTTTGGGCTAGGCAATCATCTGTATAAGTCTTGGTAGGGTCTTGGTCATGTTGGAGGTGTTTTGTAGCTTGTTGATATGTGTTTACGGCTGAGTTGGTGTTCACGGCCGTAAACAGGTTTACGGACGTGAACTTGTTTACGGCCAGTCATTCCCTATAAATAGTTTGTGTCAGAGTCTGTCAGAGTGATGTATCCATAGTGTTTACGGTCAACTGTGTGTGTAACTCAAGGTGTACCAGACGTTCTTCTCTAATAGACGTGTGCATTGCTTGATAATCTTGTTCTTCTACTCATTCTTGTTCTTGTTTGTTTTGATCACTGGTTTGGATCTTGTAATTGGGATTTGAGTTAAGTTGATCTGTGAATGTCAGGCTCCTGGTACGGACTAAATTGATGTGTTCAATTCTGTAGTCTAAATTGATCACAAATCAGGAAATCAGGAAACAAAACAAATGAAGATGAGGTTGAACATTTAATCCATGACTCAGTTCATATCATATCTTGTAGAATGAAGAAATAGGTTATCACTTATCTTAGGGACAACATTTGATTTGAATCAGAGTTCGACAATGGATTTGGAAAGCACTCTTTGTTGTTTTGTTCAAGGTCTATACTTGCAATTGTAGTCACAGACTTATCCAAGTGGAAGACTGTTAGATTAAGGTGTCTAAGCCAGTAACTAAATTGGTATATTCCTGTAATTAGAAGCAAAGTCCCTTTTGGGTTGCCCTCAAAACGAGAAATAGCTAGAAATGATATTAGGAGACAGAAGTATAATTTATTATATTATAATATCATTAATAAACTAATTGGAAATTAGAGGAAAATAATTTGTTATTATATTACGTGATTAATATATTAATTGGAAATAGACAGTTGCTTTGTTGATTTATTATGTCATTAATAAATTCATATGAGATCAACTGTTAGATAACTAATTTTTTATTTTATATGATTAATAAATTAATTTGAAATCAATTAGAATTGATTAATTATTAATCAGAATTAATATGGAATTAATTCGGGATTAATTGGAATTAATTAAATGTGCAAGAGATGAATTTTAATTGTTCAATAGCTGAACAAAAGAGGTAATTCTAGAAGCATTCATATCATGGACGGTTTTATGGAGTTCCTTTGGGTTTCCACAAGCCTCCTGGTTGCATAAAAGGAAAGGATTTGAATTAGGATTAAATCTATTATTTAATTAATTCAGATCTTGCTTTGCCTACAAGTTACCTAAACTATAAATAGGACCCCTTGGCTTGTAATTTTGGTTGACCACATTACCTAAAGGCATATGAACGAAATTCCCTTCATATCTCCTCTCTCTTCCTCATTATAGGGTTTCTGGTTTTGAGTGTGAGCCATTAGAGTCATCATCCTTTTGGTGCTTGCTTTCCAAAGAACTTCAAGAGGATTTTATTTGATTATTTGCTATAATAATCAAAAGGAATGTAACCCTAATCTTTATGTTAATTTCGATTTTGATCGCTTCTCTCTAGGTTTCTTAATGTTAATATGTTATTGCTATCAAAAGAGAAAACATAGATCCTTTCTAGGTTGCATGTGAACTTGAGGGTTTAAGTGTTTTTTCCGCACATGAATTTTTTTTATAACCTAAAAAACCCATCAAATCAAATCTTGCATGACATGTTTAAAGACTGGGTATCCAATAGACATGTACCCGATACTAAAAGCGGATATTAAAGCTTTCTAAGGTATAGGAGGTTATTAAGGGCAACAACAGAGACAATTTGACCAGCCTCGTAACAATTAATCTTAAGGACTGAATCGGAACTGCAACTTTCACCAAATACCCCAAAAGAACTTCCAACAAAGACCGTAGTTCCAGCACCTACCTAGGTTTTAACAACCTGCCTTTCAGCAAAATTAGCAACTAGTTGAATAACAAGGTAGCAGTTCCAACATGTCTTTGGAAGACATTGTAAAAAGTTTAGCCACCAGCACCCATGTTTTCCAGAATGAAACAAAGACGAGCATCAAAAATCTGGAATAGAAGATGGCACAACTAACAAACACAATGAGAAAGTTGGAAGCGCAAGGAAAGTTACCATCTCATTTTGAGAAATATCCAAAGCACAATGCTTGTGTTGTAACTCTTAGAGGCAAGTTAAGCTACAATTGACCAATCAACCGAAAGATGGTGGAGAAGAGATCGTGGTTGAGAAAGTAGATGAGGGAACAAAAGAAGTTCCAAAGAAAGACAAAGTTGCTGAAACTGAGGTAAAGATCTCTTTTCCACCTTACCCTTCAATGCTACGAAATACGAAAAAAGATAAGGAGGACAACGAGATCAAGGACTTTTTCAGAAAAGTCGAGGTAAATTATCCACTCTTAGGTGATATTAAACAAGTACCCCGATATTCCAAGTTATTGAAAGAATTATGTACCTCTAATAAGAAACTAAAAGGTAATGAAACAGTTACGGTTAGTGAACACGTGTCAGCTGTCTTACAAAAAAGAACACCCCCAAAAAGCAAAGATCCAAGTGTATTTACTCTACCTTGCAAATTGGGGAATCATTCATTGCCATGTCATCTAGGAACACACATTAACATTTTACCTTACTCAATGCATTGACAAGAGTCGTGTTCACACATGGAAGTGTTACGCATGCTTTAAAATAGTGTTGCCATAGGCTATTAGAAAACAAAAGAAGTGTTGCACTTTATTTAAAAAAGTGTTGATCTTTATTTAAAAGGTGTTGCATTTACAAGTGTTGCACTTATAAAAAATGCAGCACTTTAAAAAAAGTTTTGCATGTCCTAAAAGAAGTGTTGCATTAGCCATAAGGCGACATTACCTAAGACAACACATGCTAAAGAACTGCATGTCTAATGTAGCAATTTTAAGGCCTATTGCAGCACTTTTTTGGTGTTACATTAGGCTCATTTTGTTGTAGTGTGCAAACGAAGGGCGTAAATTTTTTGGGATACGAGGATAAAGTGTATTTGAACATAGTACTATTATTTAAAACAAATTTAAGTTTATGTATTTATTACTTTTTTCACACGTGGAAGTGTTACGCATGCTTTAAAATAGTGTTGCCATAGGCTATTAGAAAACAAAAGAAGTGTTGCACTTGATTTAAAAAAGTGTTGCTCTTTATTTAAAAGGTGTTGCATTTACAAGTGCTGCACTTGTAAAAAATGCAGCACTTTAAAAAAAGTTTTGCATGTCCTAAAAGAAGTGTTGCATTAGGCATAAGGCGACATTACCTAAGACAATACATGCTAAAGAACTGCAGGTCTAATGTAGCAATTTTAAGGCCTATTGCAGCACTTTTTTGGTGTTACATTAGGCTCATTTTGTTGTAGTGTGCAAACGAACGGCATAAATTTTTTGGGATACGAGGATAAAGTGTATTTGAAAATAGTACTATTATTTAAAACAAATTTAAGTTTATGTATTTATTACTTTTTTTTGTAAATTTTAAGATTTCATGCACTGATATTTTTGCAATATAGATTTTATAAAAACAAATATTATACAAAAGAAAAAAACAAAAAAATAACACTTTTTTTTTACTTTTCCGAAACGCTTGTCCGGAATCCTGCTCCGGTATCCCGGAGATCTCTCCGGAATGATCTATTTTGGACAAAGTGGTTATTTTACAAAAATAACAAAAAAGTTGGGTTATTTTTTTTTTCAAAAACTTCATTTATATGGGTAATGGGTTGGATTACTCAATTTCCCTTATATTTATACTTCCTAATAAATAATGCTTATATATCTAGGTTCTCACTCAAACCTGCTATCTAGTCTCGAGGATATCTCCGTTCTCTCTTGTCACCATTAAGAAAAAAGTTTGAGAAGCTATTATTTTTCTTCTCATTTTATCGTCTTATAATTAATCAAGCTTTGTCATGGCCACTGCAAATTATTTATCCACGATTTGTATGATGTTTGTCATCTTTTTTGCTTCCTCTTTCTCGGCAGATCCTGACATGCTACAAGATGTTTGTGTGGCAAATCTTGCATCTGGTAATTTCGATTGTTACAACAATATTATTTTTTAATACTAGGTATTCACTCTTTAGATTTGTTTATATTATTTAGGTTTTAACGAGATATAACTGTAACAAAGTAATGTTGTTGATGAAATAGACGTAACAATGAATGGATTCCCCTGCAAACACAACGTATCAGCTGATGATTTCTTCTTCGATGAGTTATCGCAGCCAAGACTCACTAACAACACATTTGGAGCGACTGCCACATTAGTCACTGTCCAAAATATCACCGGCCTAAACACCTTAGGGGTCTCCATAGCTCGTATTGACTTTGCTCCAAGGGGCTTGAACCCACCACACTTTCACCCACGAGCCACTGAGATAGTGTTTGTACTTAAGGGTATCTTGGAAGTCTCATTCATAACCACGGATAACAAGCTCTACTCCAAGTCCATCAAGGCTGGTGAAGTCTTCGTATTCCCTAAAGGGTTGATCCACTTCCAGAAAAACAATGGGAATGTTCCTGCTGCGGCCATTGCTGCCTTCAATAGCCAGTTCCCGACCCCCCAAAGGGTGCCAAACGCTTTGTTTGCATCGTCTCCCAGTGTGCCAAATCATGTGTTGGCTAAAGCATTTCAAATTGGAACGAAAGAGGTGAAGAAAATGAAGTCAAGGCTTGCTCCTAACAAGTAAAAAAATATATATATTAGTACCAAACGTATTTAATTAACTGTCTATGTTTTTTTTTTGTCTATTATTAAAGATTATTGAATTTTAGGTTTAATGGTTTGGTGGTTCACTATTGAAATCCATAAAACCGAACGAACATGCATTCTGTGACTTAAGGTCTTCAAAGCCACTTGTTAACATTTAAAAGAGCGACCTGTTGTCACTGCAATTCTTCCTATCCATACTCATGATCACCATAATTACAATGCAAGTGATCGTCAAAAATTTTACATACACAATTACCTGGCCTATATGGGTTCATATAATCATTTGTTTTTTTCTTTCCGTTTTTCCACTTAACAAATTTAAATACTATATTCGTTTGACAAATTAAGTTTCCTAATGAAACAAAATTTTGAAAAAGACCCGTTACAACAAGACCGTTGCAACTTCTTCGTGGCATTACAATGGAAGTATAATACATTTATAGAGTTTTTCGTTGGTAAAGGTATTCAACGGCTACATAATTATATTGGAGTAATTCATGTCAGCAAATATCTATTTTGTACATGTTTAAGTTGTTCTATTTCAAGAACTAAGGTCTTCTCAATTCTACTATGAAAAGAGTTTGATCAATTTTGGAGTTTTGTATCAAGGGATACACAACAAGAAAATGCACCTTTAGGGACGACAAAAAGCGTCACATATAGTCAAGAAAGTCGTCCCTAAAGGTATTAGGGACGATGTCGTCTCAATTGGGTCGCCGCAAATACCTCGTAGCTAATACTCCAAAGTCGTCCCTAAAGGCGTTGTCTCTAATAGTTATCGTCGCTAATACCAATCGTCGTCCCTAAAGGTGTCGTCCCTAATAATATTCCGGCCACCGACCAATATTATTCCGACCAAATATTTCGGCGGGATGTGTCGTCGCAAATGCTTAAGATCATCCCTAAAGGTGTTCATTGTTTTTTTAGATAAAATTTATATTTTATATTAGTTTATAGTATAAAAATGCAGAATTTAAAAATCTGCATTACATAAAACATCAAATAACATAAACAAAGTATATCACATTAACATCATCTAAATCCATAATAACATCATCTATAACATAAAACAATATATACTAATCGTTTTCCCCATCATCGTTTTCATCGTCGTTGTTGGTCGCATTGT